AGTACATATAATCTTTTCTCTTAGTATTTCTCATAAGTAAAATGTTAAATTTGATTGAATTGGTATTTAAAATGTCACTTTTAATAGTGAGAAAAAACAACATGGAGAAAATAAAAGATCATAATAATATATTATCGTGGAAACTTTAAAATTTGAAAAAAAGAAACTATCCGTGTTGACAAATGAACGAGAAAATAATATTATATAAAATTTCTTATAATACAATCTAGTCTTAAATATCTTCCACGACTCCCGATTTATCTATACTTTACAAAATAAATATTTATTTAAATCTTATAACATTCTAATACAAGAGTATAAGAGAAATATATTGTTGTAATTGATTTTTAAATGAGAGTCGACATCCTTAATTTTTATTCTAAGGAAGAGAATATAAAGGTTAACCTTAAAAAATTAGATATTCTAGGTTTGGACTCGGTTTTAGACGAAGGGAAGGTGTTAGACACCCCTCATTTACTTTATTCACAGAGATACTAGAGTTTAAAAGTGCAATCTTTATAGGAATAGGGTTTTAGTATTTTATTAGGGGAACTCACCACGATTTTAATCGTATGCCTACGTATCCTTTTATGAGGAATCAGAGTCTCAATTCGTAGTTCGTAATTGGTTTGTGTTTTTTATGGATTGCGAAGATATTTGAATTTCCCGCATACTTAGTTTAGGTGTGTGAATAGCGGAGATATTTAGACAAAGTACGCAATTAATTAAAATATGTTTCGTAATCCTTTTTGAAAATTAATTGTTGAATTAATTTAGTTATAAAAAATGATTTATTGTTGATTAAATATTTTTTATGTGTTAATTCTAGAAAGTATATTTATTTAAATGCATGATTAAAAATATTTTCATGCAATAAAAATAAATAATATTTAGGATGAAATTAAAAAATAATAATTATGTGATTTAATAATAATAATAATTATATAATTACAAAAATTTATAAAATATAAAATATAAAATAATAAAGAAAATTAAATAAAACGCAAGGGGGTGCAAATAATACTAGGCTAATAAAAATGGGGGAGTGCAGGTATTAGGGCCTTGAATTCAAATATTAAATTCAGGCCCAATAAGACAGGGGGTACATTTTTGAATGTCTTAGTAAAACTGTGGGGGGGGGGGGGGGGGGGGGGGGGGGGGGGGGGGGGGGGGAGGCGGCGTGTAAAGCATCAATTAACCATCAAACTATGTTAGAGATTATTGCCTGGCGCCTTAAATTTCTTTGTTTCGATTCTCTTTCTAAGCTCTCTCTTTTCGATTCGCGGATGGAAGTCGGTGATGATGATTAAGGCGATGATTTAATGGCGGCAGCGACGCGACGACTGGATCTAGGGTTTTAGATATTGAAACCCTAGGCGGTGGTGAAAGGGGATTACAACGGCGAGGCTTCTCCGTCCTTCTTCTGTTACGAATTTTCCTCCTTGTAATAATTTTCTTCTCTATAATTCTTTCCTCTCTGATTTTTTTTGTTTTCTTTTGTTCTGTTTTAACTATTAGGTTTTATAGTGTTTTAGGAGTTTAGTATATTAGGAAATAGATTAATATGTATGTAATTTGTTATATGATTTGAATTACGTTTTAAATATGAATTTTATTTTGTCTGTAAATTTGTGATATCCTTGATTAGTTTCTATATTAGTATTAATCTTGTCTGAATATTGCAATAGGTTTTGATTATGTGCATTAACCTAATTTCTGTTTTGGTACGATATTGTTTCTGGAAAGTTAATACACAAATTTGCTTATGTTTTTATTATAATAAAAATAGTAAGATTAATAATAGGTTAATAATAATGTTAATAATAATAATAAATGTTATAATTTAAATAAAATATTTTTTTTAAAAAACGAAAATCGAAATTGAATTGGGCCATACTGTTTCAATTTATTGAACTTTAACAAGAAAATGAATTGCTTACACCCCCTTTTTAATATTTGAAATGGACTAAAAAAATTACATGGACCATTTCTGATTTAGAAAGGCCCATGATTTTTTAAAATAGTATAACTCATTTCAATATTTAGACAAAGTGCGCAGTTAATTAAAATATGCTTCGTAATCCTTTTCAAAAATTAATTGTTGAATTAATTTAGTTATAAATTTTTTTTTTTTATTGATTAAATATTTTTTATGTGTTAATTGTAGAAAACATCTTTATTTAAATACACGATTAAAAATATTTGCAATAAAAATAAATAATATTTAGGATAAAATTAGAAAATAATAATTATGTGATTTAATAATGATAATAATAATTAGTATAATTATAAATATAAAATATAAAAATAATAAAGAAAATAAAATAAAACACAAGGGGGTGTAAATAATACCAGACTAGTAAAAATGGGGGAGTGCAGGTATTACGGCCTTGAATTCAAATATTGAATTCAAGCTCAATAAGACAAGGGGATACATTTCTGAGTGCGTTAGTAAAATTGAGGGGCGTGTAAAGCATCAATTAACCATCAAACTAGGTTAGAGATTATCGTTTGGCGCCTTAAATTTCTTTGTTTTGATTCCTTTCGCGGATGGAAGTCTGTGATGATGATTAAGGCGACGATTTAATGACGACGGCGGCGCGACGACTGGATCTAGGGTTTCAGATGCTGAAACCCTAGGCGGCGGTGAAGGGGGATTACAGCAGAGAGGCTTCTTTGTCATTCTTTTGTTATGAATTTTCCTCCTTCTAATAATTTTCTTCTCTGTAATTCTTTCCTCTCTGGTTTTTTTTTGTTTTCTTTTGTTCTGTTTTAACTATTAGGTTTTATAGTGTTTTAGGAGTTTAGTATATTAGGAAATAGATTAATATGTATGTAATTTGTTATACGATTTTACTTACGTTTTGAATATGAATTTTATTTTATCTTTAAATCTGTGATATCCTTGATTAGTTTCTGATCTTACCGGATCAGACTAGGACCGTCACAACTGGCTCGAACTGGCTTGAGTGAGAGATGGGGGGAGGGTACCTGCAAGACACTCTGATGCTAAAGTGAGAGATGGAATGAGCAGGCCGAAAGTGTATAGGTGCGTAATAGATGAATACATGACCCTCTTGGAACATAGGGTATTTATAGCCTCCAGCGCTGGGTCAAGGTCCCTTCATTGGGCCGACCATAACTGACCCAATAAGGGAACTTCCAGGTTCTACGTGTGTAGTGGGGCCCCGCACATGGTCCCCTTCTTGGTGATGTTGTGCGAAGAACAAGGAGGGACGAAGACGCGGTCTTTCCGGAGCGTGGAGGATTCTATAACGGTTAGGATGGACAGAGTCTGCCCTACGGGGAGGGTGCTCGAGCTGGTCTTGAGCTAGAGTTCCCTTGGTCGGAGATACTGCTTGTCGCGGGCAATGGCGGGCATAGCAGTTGCAGTCCGTGGTCGAGCACGTTTGGTGATGGTCTGTTTGTGAGCATTCCTCGAGGAGTTGTCTAGATTTGGGCCTTTATCTGCCTTTTGGGCCAAGGCAGGCCCAGTCCAGAACAATTTCTATTTTATTATTAATCTTGTTTGAATATTACAGTAGATTTTTATTGTGTGCATTAACCTAATTTCTGTTTTGGTACGAGATTGTTTCTGAAAAGTTAATACACAAATTTGCTTATGTTTTTATTATAATAAAAATAGTAAGATTAATAATAGGTTAATAATAATGTTAATAATAATAATAATATAATAATAATAATAATAATAATAATAATAATAATAATAATAATAATAATAATAATGTTATGATTTAAACCATTTTTTTTTAAAACGAAAATCAAAACTGAATTGGACCCATACTGTTTCAATTTATTGGGCTTTAATAAGAAAATGAATTGCTTTACACACACCCTTTTTAATATTTGAAATGGACTAAAAAATTACATGGATTCCTTTCTGATTTAAAAAGACCTATGATTTTTCAAAATAGTGTAACTCCTTTCGATATTTAAAATGGATTGAAACCTAAACAAAGTCATACTCAAAAATACAGTTGGTTCAAAAAAACCTACATGGACTTTTCTGATTTTAAAAGGCTAAATAATTTCTTTATAAAATAAACCTCTTTTTATAAATTTTAAACTCCCATAACTATATAAATAATATTTTATAAAATAAAATAATTTTTAGCAATAAAAAAAATTAAAAATAAATAGAACAAATTTAAAGTATAACACATACATCATTCATCATCTTAAAAAATCCAAAAAAATATATCAGATTTCTTTATGTTATGAATAAAACAACAAACAACAACTTCACCTTCACTTTATTCCTAGTTATTCTTCATCTTTTTCTCAACATTACATCGATCTTTAATACATACAACAACTTCACCTTCACTTTAAAATTTGCCTTTTTCCTTCAAAATCAATAATTTTTTTATAAATAAAATAAATAAAATCTTTCATAAACAAGTTTATCAAAATTTGAACACAAAAAAATAGAGAGTTTGAATCAAAACTACACAAACAAGTCGACCTAAATCTGAGAGACGTGGAAACATGAAATGAGGGATTTGGAAGAGTTCATAAGATCTTTTTAAATTTTGAAAATTTAGATCTAGATTTATTAAGAAAAAATAAAATAAACCACTTATAATATCAAATCTACACGCCTTAACTTTTTTTGTCAAAAAATAATAGAAACGATCACATTGACTAACACAAAATATATTTGAAGAACTTAAAAAGAAAATTCAAAGAATTTAATAATAACATTTAAAAAATAGACCAATATAAAACAAAAAGAATTAACTTATAATAAATTGTATCTTTTGAGTTTTAAATTAAAAATGTTTTTAAATTAAATATTATTAAACACGCCCGAGTTTTATATTTAGTATTTTATTTATAAATAGACTATTAAATTATTCTCTTTGAATTAATCGGTCGCATAATAGTGTATTAAGATTAAAAAAGAATTGATAACAAAGAAAAGACTTAAATTAAATTTATTGTTATTATAATGAAGTGTCTCGAAGACATGAACAAAATTAAGGTACATTATTTCCTTGATTGTAGGGAACACAAAGAGAATACTTTCCTGTACGATTTTCAAACCTACAAGCTTCTTTATCTGTTACGTTCCATTTGATATTTGGGCCTTCCCCCCAATCCCTTCCTTTAGACCACAGATCAAACCATTGGAGGTTGGAACCAGCCCAAATAACACTACAAGAATACTTGCTCGAATTAAAAATAAGTCTTGGGATAAAATAAGTTTTGAACTCCCCGCCAGGTGGGAGTTGTTTCTCGCCTAAATCTTGACCTAACCTTTCATAGCAATGAAGGCCTAAAATTTTGTTATTAGATAAAGCATTGGTGACCACTGCGTTCACTCCACCGGGCCAGGTTATTGCTTCAGATACATCTGCTAGCAATAAAACAAGTGATATAGGAACAACAATTCTCATCAACATTTGAGACATCATGTATACAATGTGTCTTTAAGCCTTACTTACATCCCTTTTTATAGCCTTTAATTTTTTACATGTATATTCCTAAAATATCCTTTCCATTTGGATAAGTTCAAATTTAATTTAGATCATTAAAAATATGTTCTTTTATATTAATAAAGGCATATTTAAAAAATATATATTTAAGTCCCGTTTGTTTTGTGTTTTTTTTTTAATTATTTTTATAGTGTAATATAATTTTGTGTGAAAAAAATTTATAAAAAAACTTTTCATAAAAATTTAATTTGAATAATTATTCTTAAGATATTATTTTAGATATTTTATTTTATTTTTTAAATAAGTCACTCTTTAATTTTTTTCCCTTTTTATGTGTGATTATTCTTTTTGTAATATATATTTTACAAAATAGTTGTGTGTGATGTCTTATAACACATCTTGTCTCGTCTGATTACAATCTTATATATTTTGGACAACGTTCAACTAATGCGACTTAATAGAACGCAAAATGTATGTGTCACAAGCGCATATACTCTATTTCTTTTAATTAAAAGGAGCGTGTCAATAATATTTAATTTCAACAATATAATACACATGTAATTCTTGAATTTTATCTAGATCGAATCCTCCGAATTTCTAGAAGGAAAAATCATTAAACACAATATATTACTTTATCTGAACCTATTTATAAATAAAATTATTTATAATATTCATTGTATAAATAATATATTTGGTCTATATATTGTTCAGGTACATTAGTAATTTAATGTATCTAAAAAATAATTTTTTTTTATAAATACAACTAGAAGAAATATTGAACTATTTTATTTAATTATAATTAATTTTTTTAATTTTAATTTAGAAAATCTAAAAATATTAAATATAATTAATTGATTACTTAATATATATATATATATATATATATATATATATATATATATATATATATATATATATATATATATATATATATATATATATATATATATATATATATATATATATATATATATATATATATATATATATATATATATATATATATATATATATAATTGTTTATCTAGATTATGACCATTGGCATTAATAACTGGTTCTAGATACATCATTGTAAATATTTAAAAATGGACCAGATTAAAATCGTCGATAATATACCCCACAACCACGATTGAACACCGCCTTCAACATAGCGGTGAGAAATTCCACAACTCTTCAGTGTCAAGTCCCCGTTGTTCAAGTCCAGTCTGAATATCCACGTACCTGAAAATATTATAACATTGTTGGATGAGATACTATTCTCAGTGGGTTTCCGATCTAAACCATTGAATCACAATCTACCATTCTACGCGGTTAAGGCATACTTGAATAATCTGTCGGGGTATCTCCACTTTTTCCATATAAAAGTATTGAGTCATCGAAGAACTTGAATATAACATGACAAGATTTATTCTTATTACATCGCAGAGTCTAATCTAAAATAATTGAGGATCCTTCTAGTTAGGTCACATTTTTTTTACTTTTACCCTCCTTCTTAATCGGTTGATCTAAAAGAAATCAACAGGGAAAAGGTAGGACAATGTATTAATAATTTCCAGCAGGCTTACAGGTTGACTTCTAATACTACTGCAAAATAGACCTTTCATAATACCATATTAAAACGGCCTTCTTGTTAACTGTGGTAATTGTTGGAATAATATAACAAGTGTGAGTAAGTGGAGAAATAGTCCTACATTGGATATGAATGTGGTGACTTAAGCATATATAAGTGGGAGAACCCACTCACCTATCACCTTAAGGTTTTAGGTGGATAAGTGGTGTGTCTCTCACAAAGGTGCTTAGTCCTGCACTATATATCAATGCTCCTAGTATCTCCCCTCCAACATGGTATCATGAGCCTTTGGTTCGAGAAAGGGACCGGAAGAGACTTGTATCAAAATGCACCCAGGAAGTGGTGTTCTGTTGCAAGATGTCAATAGCGGTACAAGTGAGGGAACATTGTGGACTCACACTTGAGGTGGATTGTTGGAATAATATAGCAAGTGTGAGTAAGTGGGGAAATAGTTTCACATTGGATAGGAATGTGGAGACTTAAGCATATATAAGTGGGAGAACCCACTCACCTATCACCTTAAGGTTTTAGGTGGATAAGTGATGTGTCTCTCACAAAGGTGCATAGTCCTACAATATGTATCAATGCTCCTAGTATCTCCCCCCAATAGTAATAACTCTTTTTTAGGTGTTTTTTTTTTGTATTTACTAAAAGAAATTCCACTATGGTCATAGTTAAAAACCATTGTGAAATGTACCTAGAGTGAAAGGGTTCAAATTCCATCACCAATAATTTTCCATTTATCGTGAAAAAATAGTCTTGACCTTATATATCACTGTGATTCTTATAATCACTCGTGGTGTTAGGTGCAATCATTTCATCATGTTTCATATTATCAACCATAGTGAAAGGTGTTACATATTTATATATAAGCGAAATTGTAACACCACAAAATAATTAGATTATTTATTTAAATATTTAATTGTGAATATTGTGAGTATTTGTGATGTATCCATGAGTATATGTGATATGATGTTGTGTAGTATAGTGAAAATTAAGTGATATTGAGTGTTTGAGTAATTTTAGATAATTAATTTTGATTATTTAGAATTATTATTAATTAAACAAAAAAAAATAAGAGGTAGAGAATATGAGGACAATGTAGTAATATTGTGAAGTAAGTGAGGGTAAGACGGAAAGACCGTAGAAAGAGTCTAAGGGTCAAATAAGGAAAAGTCAATGTCAATGTTCATTCTGCGATCCTAAAGTGAGAAGAATGTTGTGAAGAGAGCTAGCGCACTGAGGAACTCAGAGGGTACTGTGGAACGCGAGAAGAGATTGAATTACTGCTAGGAATCTAAGGTAATGGGGTTTATCTTTTTTATTATGATCTATATAGGGCTTAGTTAATTATAGGTTTGTGTTTGGATTTTGGTTGATGATGTTAACATGATGATTTGATGAGAATTGGTGAAATTATTTTACAATGAGTTGATGTGTATGATGTATAATATGATGTGTTGGTATTGTATGATGAAAACATGAGTATTTGTGATGAATTGGAACATATTGTGTTGAAATCGCAAGAAAATTGGAACTGGTACAATGCAGAAAACGAACAGGGAATTCCTTGTTCGCGTTGTGTCGCCGTGGGAGCCATATGCTTTTCAAGGAGAGTGAGCTTCGCCCAAGCAGCGCCAGGAGAGCAAGAGGAGAAGTAAAGGGGTGAAAAACAGGGCCCTTGAATTTTTGTATGGAGAGGGTGACTCGCCCCAACTTCGTCGGGCAAAGTGGAAGCGAGATGAGCCCGATGGGCAAGCGCATAGCTTCACTAGGCGAGGGTGTCTAAAGAAAAACGAAGCTCCTGGATTTTGTATGGGGGAAGGTATTTCTCCCCAGCCTCGTCGGTGTTGGCTCCTAAATTCGACACCTTTGTTTTGTTGATGTCAGCCATTAAAGCTGAAGGATGTTTTCGACTGGCTAAGTCTGTCGAAATGCCCGTCGAAAGATGGCAAAGTACTTAGAAGATTTCTTCCAAGGGAGAAGTTGGTTGCCTTCGACGTCGAAGGAGTTTCTCGTCGAAGATGTCTCTCGACGAAAGTGTTCGATGGTTCAGAGTGGAGCAGTTTGAAATTCAAGCTTTTGGAGGGAAAACGGTTTCCAGCAGTTACCACGTGTAGCGTGCAAAGATCTGGAGCGTCGAACGTTGAGAACGTGCCAAGTGGAATCATCTCGAAGCAGTGTAACTGCCCGACGGTTACTTGGGATGTTTTAGTATAAATAGTAGTAGTCATGTAAGTTCTCGCGTGTGTTCACAATTCTATACAAAGTCACTCATATAGATTCGAGTACCCAGCGTGTGAGAAAGAATTGTTGAGAAATGTATGTGTGAAACACCAATTTTATTAATCAAAGTCATTTACTTTTCCAGAAATTTACTTGCTTTCCTCTTTACATTCCTGTCGAAGCCTTTTACTTTAAGCCTTGTTTATTTTACCAAGTCCTTTCTTCATGCAATTTACTTGAAACCTCTTTATTTCATTTAAAGCCTCTTTATTTAAAGCCTTATCCAATTTAATCGAAACTTCAAAATCAACCTATGTCCTAGGATCAATCTGATCGATCCTGCGAGTAACCAAATAAGTAACCATTTGGAGGATCAGCGGTTGTTTACCAAATCCCAAGGTAAACAAATTGGCACACCTGGTGGGACCGTGTGTTGATTGTTGAAAATAATCTCATCTTTTCGAGTTGTATGTTATTGAGAAGTGGTAGAATATACACTAACGATAACAATACTGCCAGAAGAAGGGAAGAGATGGCGAATCCGCCAAACAATAACGAAATCCCACAAACGAATGTGGGAGCAACGGTTAGTACGACCGTAAGTGAAGCGACAAATGTTGGTTCGACACCAGCAGTATCGGTCACAACCACGGGGCCAATACCTTCGTTAACAGGCCCCAGGATGCCTTTGGGAACTCCCCCACCAAGGGGAAATTTAGGCACAAGGCCTTTGGTTCCCCCAGGATTTATTCCATTCTATGGTATGCCAACTTCTGAAGTGGCAAGCCTGACGAATGCTGCGTCCACTTTTTCAGACCCTTTGGTGAGTGCCTCTTCGCCACTCCAAGGCTCTGGAGTAGGCATGGCGAATAGAAATAGGACCCAACTCTTAGGAGGAACGTCCCAAGTAGCCCATGGCCTTACAAATGCCTCGACAACAGTCTTGAGGCAACAAATGGACGAAAGCAACCATGATATGATGCAAATGTTGGCACAAACTTTGAGTACAGTGCTAAACCCTCTAATACAAAACACTACTCAATCGAATCAGCAAATGACAGCACAAATGGCGCGCTTGGCTGATTTCTTTGGAGTACCCCAACCGATTCGACAGCCCCAAAGGGCACAAATAAGGGGAAACCAGGGGATATTTTTAGAGGAAGAAACCACCATTAACCAGGCT